CACCGTCAGGACACCGTGTGGACACCATCGGGACACCATGGAGACACCACCGGGACACCATCGGGACACCATGTGGACACGGTCGAGAACATCGGGACAGCGTCGGGACACCATCAGGGCACCCCCAGGACACCGCTGGCCAGCATTGGGGCACATCATCATCATTTAGCCTGGTTTCGCCCACGAAGCCGAAACTGATTTCCTGGTCGGGTTCTTCGCCTCCTCCTCCTCCTGTCATTCCGATCTGACCCCCCGACCTCCGATTCGCGCCTTCGCAGTCCCACGGATGCCACGTCCCGCGCAGGGCCTCCGCGAACGAGCGCGCCGCATCCGCGGGGGCGCGGCCCAGGGGCCCGGGCCCGCGAGGCCGCGGATGCGTGCGGATGTGCTGCGATGTTAGAACAGCTCTTATCACAGCGAGTACACCCAATAGTGCAGATACCACAGCCAATAGTGCAGCATTCTCGATTCAACACCAGATTTTCCCACAGTTCGTATTTCAGTCAGACATTGCCATTGTCACCGACGGGCGTGACCAACATCGGCACCGTCATCGGCCTTGCCGTCGTCATCGCCACTTTTCGTCATCGTCAACGCCGCGGGGCCCGGGCCCGCGAGGCCCGGGCCCACGCATTTGGAGCAACAACGCCGCGCCCCCCTCCCGCCAGGCGGCCCCCCTGGGGCTTCAGCGGCGGGCCTGCCGGGGCTGGACCTCGGCTGCGGCGGCTGCGGCCTGCAGCTGGGCGCTGCGGGTGGCTGCACCATGCAGCTGGGCGGCTGCGGGCTGCTGGGACCCGCCGCCTTCGGTGGCACCGACATGGCGTCCTTTGGCAGCGCCAGCAGCACCAGTCCGGCGAGCACCGTCGTCGTCGTCGCCGCCGCCGTCGCCGCCGTTGCTGCTGGCGTCGTTGTCGTCGTCGCTTTCGTTGTCGAGGGGGAAGAGAGTCGTCGTCATCGTCTCCGTCGTCGACGATCCAGGCCTGGCCTGGTAGCGCCGCTGGCGCGCGCGGAAGGAATGGGAAGGAGCGAGGATGGTGGAGGAGAGAGATGGAGGACAGGAAGGAGGGGAGGGAGCAACGAAGGACGGGGACGGAGGAGGAATGAGATGACGGGCTGGATGGGCCGAGGTGAAGAGAGACAGGAGGGGGATCATCTAGACGCGCTCGCACCATATCTGACATCCCTTCACATTCGTTCCATTGGATTCTAATTTCTTTGTTTGCGCCGACTGGGGTGTTCTATATAACCTTGATCCTCCACTTGCCCATCGCGTGCTAAGCAAACAGACGTTTTTTTTTCCTTTGAGACGTAGGTATTGGATGGTTATGGTGATGATGGTGATGCTGCTGAGGATGATGATCATGCTGATGATTAGGAGGATGATTCAATGCTGATACTGATCTTGCTGCTGATGATGCTGATGATAAAGATGACGGTGATGATGCTGCTGATGATGATGATGCTGATGCTGATGCTGATGATGCTGATGATGAAATGATTATGCTGATGCTGTCGATGCTGATGATGATGATGATGCTGATGATGATGCTGCTGATGATGATAGTGGTGATGGTGGTGATGGTGGTGGCTGCTGCTGCTGCTGATACTGATGATGCTGATGGTGGTGATGATGTTGATGCTGATGATGCTGATGCTGATGATGGCGATGCTGATGATGGTGATACTGATGCTGATGATGATGGTGATGAGGATGATGAGGATGATGAGGATGATGCTGATGCTGATGCTGATGCTGATGCTGATGCTGATGCTGCTGATGATGATGACGATTATGAAGAAGACGGTGAACGAGGATAACGAGGATCAGCAGCAGGAGTAGGGGTTGAGGCTGAGGAGAGGAAAAGGGGGTGCGGCAACGACGGGGAAGGACTCGGATGCAGAAGTGTGTGTCCGCGCTGGGGTGACAGCGCCGTTCTCAACGACGGGGGCAAAGCACCGATCTTGCAAGGTGGCCAAATTGCCGCGCCACTAATGTTCACCGCTCTGGGTAATGTTGGTAGTATCCATCCCTTAGAGAATGATTATTTTTTGGGCTGCCCTGCGCGCCGGTTGAGTTTTCGCGCGCGTGGGTAAGTGGATTGCGATGTAGATCGACGTATTCTCCGCCGAAGGCGTTGCTCGCAACCTACTACTCGTAGCCGTGATCGCAGCCGTAGCCGTTTTCGTATCGTGGTCGCAGTCGAAATCGTAGTCGCAGTCGTTGTCGTCGTCGTCGTCGTCTTCGCCGTTGTCGGTGGCGTCGTCGTCGTCGTCGTCGTCGTCGTCGTCGTTTTGGTGCGGAAGGCGCCGCGGATAGATAGTTATTTTCCCCTGCTGGTTGGGCCCCCCAGACCGTCCATGAGGGTGTCGAACAGATAATTCGTTTCCACTCGGGGTGTGTGTGTGTGTGTGTGGGGGGGGGGTTCTGAAGAGTTGTAAAGATCATGACATGGCTCGAGGAGTACACGGAGAGCGTAGCAGCGCGGCGCGGGGCGGTGGCACCGGCCGCTCCGCCGAGCCGCCGCGAGCGGTGGGGCGACGCGGGCGTGAGCCGGGTGGCAGAAGAGCTGCCGCCGCCTCCACCCGAGGCTGGAGCCCGGGCCATGTGCCAGAGTACTCTAGATTTCGTAATAAAAGGGAGGGGGGTCTCATTTCGGGGGGGTCTCTTCCAGGCTATCTTGGAGGGCCTGGGGGGTCTGGGGACGATGTTTTGGAGGGTTCTCCCACGGGGGAGGTCTGAAATGGCTTGTTTTGGAGGGTCCAGACCCCCTCCCTTTTATTACGAAATCTGGAGTACCTGACTTGGCCCGCTTCGACATGCAGACCCGTCTTAGCAAACTGCGTAGTTTCGGGCGAAGAGAGCTATGCACATGCACCGATCCTGACAACGTCCATCCTTGACCCAGGATCGGTGCATATACCTTCCTGGCCAAGGTAAGAGGGCGTGTGCACCGATCCTGGGCTCAGGATGGGCCTGGCCAGAGTCGGTGTATGTGCATAGTTCTCTTTCCTCTATAGTTACAACCCAGCGCTAGTCTTGGAGGAACTTAATCAGCTACACCAGCGGCAGCATCACGCCTCGGAACCGAAGGTGCCTATGCTGCCATCGAAGGCAGACCTTGAAACCGTACGAGTGAGCATGATCAGTGGTGTGTGTGTGTGTGTGTGTGAATCATGCCGCGAGTGCCGTGCCTGGGAGTAACCTGGTAAGGCTGCCATGCCATCAACTAGGCCTCCAGGTAGTTCCAACGAACAAGTAGATGCGACCTGGTGTTCTACAGTCAACACATCGTGTTCTTCTGTGTCGACCGATGTATCTGGTGGGCGACAGGCATGCGAGTCGCTGACAAGGCGATGCTTTCCATCTTGGACGCCAGTCACCACAGCTTGATGCAACATGGCTCAGCTAAGATATTATAATGCGACGGTGAAGGCGCCCTAAACGACGAGACGGCGAACGCCATCCTAAGGGCCAAGGGCGCGGAATTACGCATCCGCGCCCGAGGCCAACGTGGCACCGCCATTGAAGGGCGAAGTGGCGTCGCACGATACACCCTAAACGTTAAAGAGGAGGAACTCAAACAACCAAATTTACCATTGGTGTTTCTTACATTACATGACGAGTGCCTATTCGAGTGTAGTGCGCTCGCGTCCTATATCGGACTGTCACCAGATCAAGCCCTCTACGGCCGACAACAGGCCTGTGTTCCGGATCGACCGGTAGCAAACCACGAACATTGGGCGGAAACGTCCAGCCATAGCCGAGAACAGACGATCAAACAGGTAAGCATCAAAGCCATCGCACAGACCACACGCATTCAAGGGCAACCGATCCGTACGCAGTAAGTCGACGCCAGCCGGGCAATGCAATTGCAGACCCCGCGATCTCGTGGACTACCTCCAGCCTGCTACCACCAAAGACGACAGGGGCGGCTGGAACGGATCATGCCACACCATGCGCAACTACCCAGTCCGCGGTCAGGCAGTGGGGTCGGTAACCGAGAGATTGTGGCACAATATCCAGATCTACATCATACGCCATACGTAGTGGCTCTAATTGTTCGCGAGATTGGCTCCGACACGACGGCCATGAGAACAGTTCTGGCCTTTATTGCGAGCCTGCCTGCGGAGGGACCCTCTCTGGTGTTCTGCTATCTGCCCACCAGGCAGGGGCACCTGCGGATGGCCACGTCGAGTAGGCTCTCTCCGAAGGTGCACTTGGCCTCGCAGTTTCTAGAACGGTTTCCAGATCGAGAACGTAGTGGTCGTGCGCTTGGCCGAGAGCATCCGCGGGTTACCCGCGCGCGCCATGCGACGAAAACTTTGCGCCCGTGCATTGCGATAGTGACGTCGCTCAAGGGTTCCACTATGTGAACCCTCAGGTGCAGCATTGCGTATGCTCGCAGCATTGGGTCAACCCACGCACGAGTCGTTCAATGCCTCAAGTCCACCAACTTTTTGTTGGTAGGCTTCGACGAAGACCTGCCCACATTTGAGGACTTGGCGGACGCGCCGCCATCGGGTGGCCGCGCTCAAGATGGACAGGTGCGTGCGCGCAGCGGCGTTGATGACCGTCGCCCCCCGACCGTCCTCGAGACATCAGAGGCGGATCTCGAAGCGCTCACCTTTCATTCATGGTATACTGAAATTCGTGATGAAAAAGATCTCCTGGCAGAGCCCCCAGTGGAATCCTCGTGCACAGTGCCTGCCGGGATTCTTGCAGAACTCTCGGCATCTGTATCGACGGCCAGTGACGAGCGAGGAATCTCGCGTAACCGCGGGCATCGCCAGGGCGACGTGGAGGAGACGTACCTCGCCCCCGTATCCACGACATCGTGCGACGGGCCCCGTGGCTTGGACGCAGACGAACGCGGGCAGTTGGGGAGCTCTGCCTTATTGCCGATGCGGCGAAAGACGCCCTGGCGGAGCAGTGACTCAACTTAGCCACTGAAGGCCATGCAGCCATAATGCACGTGTGCGTGTCCGTTGCGTCCAAAGAGCTGTTGTCGTCATGGGGTGGGGGTGGGGGGGTGGGGGGGTGGGGGGCGGGGTTAAGGGCGGGGGGCGACCGACTCGCGGAGACGGCAAGCAGGCGCATCGTGCGATGCACTGAAGATATGGTTGGACAACGACTGCGATAGTATTGAGGAGACCAGAATTGCGTCGCGCGCCGTGACATCACGACGCGCGTGTGAGCTGAAGCTTACAAAGAACCAGAAAGGCGAGGTGGGGCGCGCGATCGGGTTGCGCTTGTTTCTTCGCGGCTTCGTGGGCGTCGAGGCTTTCGACCTGGAGACCTTCTCGGGGGCAGCTCGGCGGGCTGATTGGCCGCCGATCGAGCGCGGCCGCGCGCGAGGAGTCTCGGGCATTTTTTTCGCGGACGTGAGCGAGGCTTCCTTGGAGGGCTCGGCGCGCTTCGATCCCGCTGAAGCCGCGGGGGAACAGGAACGCGCGGTATGTTTTGCGCCCCCCCCCCCCCCCCTGGCTCGGCCGCGGTGGCGCTGGCGCTTCCTGGCCTTGCCTCTTGCGACGGGAATCAGGGGGCTGGCGTCGAGGGCGCCCCCGGGGCGTCTTCGCTCAGATTCCAGGGCCGTCGCGGGGGGCGCCGGGCACGGAGTGGCGTCGTTCGCCCGGGAGTTCGAGGCGAGCCCTCGTCTCCATGTGGCCAAGGCCGCGCGCGACATCGGCGTGGAAGGAGTCGAGGACACTATTGACAAGGATGCCATGTGTATAGAAGGTGCGTTCCGCGCATGTAAGGTCGGCGAGCGCAGCTGCGCGCGCCGCGGCGCGCGCCGCGCCGTTGCTGGGTGCGGCCGCGCCTGGCTCGATCAAGATGGATAAATGAGCTGAGGCAGATGATGATTCGCATGCGTGGTGCGTTAGCGCGCGCCTTACTTGCCTGGTCTTTCTATGACGCGTCCAAGAACAAGCCGACATGCAAGTGCGTTTGTTCAACGCCGCAGCGCTCTAATTGCAGCGGGCAATCGCGCGCCAGATGAACCCTCCGACAGGAGTTGTGGGGCCGCGTGGTAACTCAGGTTATCGCCGCCTAAGTGGCGAGGCCTTCGACGAAGTCGAGGGGCGTGGCGTCCGAGGTGCCGAGCTGCTGCTGCGTGGGCGCGCGCAGAGCGGAATGGTTGCTGTGCACCTGATGGATGCATGCTGCGAATCACATCGGCTACAAGTGCGTCCCAGCTATCCTGCTGCAGCCTTAGCTGCAGCTCGCAACTTGGGAGATTGTTACTCTGCCATCGTTGCGCTGCGCGAGCTCAAGGCTGGGCCCCTTTTATTCAGACACAATTGAGAACAAACACAAGCACATTTATTGAGTTAGGCTGTCTAGACATGTCGGTGGCCCTCTCCGTCGACGCCGAGTCGTGGCCGATTGGGTCGCGTAAGTTAGATTTAGCAAGTGGTGGAGAGAGAGGTATCGCGCGCAGTGTTCAGTGCTGTGATGCGCGTGGCCTGGCGGCCGATGGGCACCAAGGTGGCAGGCATCCAGTCATTTGAATATGAATGTACAATGTCATTCCCTGCTGGGGAGATCGGGCAACGGCGTCTGAGCCTGGCCCGCGTCGGGCCGGCGGTTAAGGCGTGAGCGCAGGCGTGGGCGCGTGCTTGCGCCCGCCCGGACTCGGGCTACTCGCCTGCCGTTTCCTCGTCACGGGCTGTGCCCTTTTCGCTTTGCGACTTTGTGTCCGAAGATCCTTCCGGATATATGCCCACCTATAGTATTATTCAGGAGGCCCGCTGCTCTGTTAGAGCGGTGGGTCTGCCCTTCTGGGCGTGGCGCTGCGCCGGTCGAGTGTGGCGTTTTCCACGGCTGGCCCCTTTGGCAGCATTGAGAATGTACATTTTGGCGACCTTCTTGCAGGCGCAAAATGGTTGTCCGGCCTCCTTTTTTTTCTCCTCCCCTCCTTGCGATCGCTGCTACTGCCTCCCTATTGTGAACGGAGGTCCATGGCGAGGGGTGAGCGGCGCGCCTGCGCCCCGACGCCGCTTGGGCCCCAGCTGTGCCGCTCAATCAGATTGCCTCGCGCGCGAGGCGCAATCGCATCCGAGCGACGGAATAAGGAGACGTCTACTTCGTTCGAAGGTGCGCTCTCTACTCCCGCTCATTCCTACCGTGTGCGTAGGTTATGGAGTACTATGCTGCGCTTGAGGCGTGATGTAGTTATGGTATGGCTTGCCGCGCCACTTGCGAGTCTTGGGGCCATTTCAGGGCGTCTGGGGCGCTCCTGTAGGTCCGCCCCCCTCCGTCCAAACCCAGGGGGGCGGGCGGGCGGAGGGGCCTAGACGCGTTTCACATGCGCATGCTGTTCGGTTCAGCCCCATGCGTTCTCCCAGCGCACAAGTCGCGCCCGAATCTCAGCATGGAGCGTTTGACTTCTGATGGGCAGCCGCTGGGAACCAATGCAGACCCCAGTTTCGCGACGCTGGGGCGCGCCGCGCTTGCCCGGCGCGCCGCGTGTGCCAGGCGCCCCGCGCGCACCAGTCGCCCCTGAGCCCCCAGCGTTCCAGGCGCGCCTGGTGCGCCAAATGTGCCGCGTGTGCCGCGTGCGCCAGGTGTGCCGCATGTCCCAGCCGCGTCAGGTGCGCCACCTTTTGCGCGCCCGCATAGGGTGCCAGGTGCGCCTGCGCACATCGGGACACGTCGGCCTCCACGATCTTGTCGAACATCAATGAGTTAATGTAGCGGAATGGCCATCAGGATGTTTGGTGGGCTTTCACACAGCAGGCAACGTACCAACACTCCCGCCGTTTTTGTCAAACACCGATGCAACGCGATTGCGGGGTGTCCGCGCATGGTCTAGATTTTGCTGCGAAGTGCAGTTGTTAATCGTGTTGTTGAGAAGGATGGTGGCCGTGCGCACAGCAGGCTATATGCTGACCCTCTCGCCGCTTTTGTCAACAAACAGTACAAAGTGTTCGCGTGGCCCTCGAGCATGATTCAATAATTTGCCGCGGAATTCATTGAACACGGTCTTTTACAGGGATGGTGGGGTGTTGGCATCGCGCATTGACAGTAAGATGTGGGCACCTTCGCCGTCCATTTCAAGAGGCAGTGCAAAGTGATCGCGGGGCGCCCGCGCATGCTCCAGATATTTGGCTTTGTCTTGTGTAATATATATATGTGTATATATATATATATGTATTCATGTCGTATATATGTATAAAAAGGTTTGCGACAATGATGCTCATGGGTCCGGGTTGGCTGCTGGCCGTGTGGGGGAGGGGTGTATTTGAATAGGGAGCAATGATCACCCCCTCTGAATCGGGGAAGGATGGCTTTTTGGAAAACGGACGAAGATAATTCGTTATACACTTTCCGCGCAGAAGGCTGGTGCGACTGTGAGATCTTGCGTGTACATTTAGAAAACATCAAAACCATTCGAAGAAGTATCCTGAAGCCTTCGAAGACGGTGTGAATACTGCAGAGCTTCTTTTCGAAAACATCCGAAGCACGCGAACTTTTTCAATCTGCGGGGCGAGAGCGAACCTTTTCCGCTAAAAGCTAGGCGGGCTACGCACCGAAACGCGCGAACACGCCCACAAACAACTCCTGCGCCACTGCCCCATCCTCCACATTGTCTTCGTCACCGTGGGCCGTCATCCTCTCAGGGGCAGTTCCAGAGGGGGATACCCTCAGGGGGGGACGCATCGACTCCCAATCGCCCATGCGTAGCCGATGGGGGCCCGATAGCCCGTCCCCGCCCAGGAGCTTGCAGATTCGCTCTCGGGCCCTTATTACCAATCTATCGGCGTTGTATCGCCGATTCCAGCTCGATGTCTTTCCCCCTGAGCCGGTCCCCCCCGTCCTCCTCCTCCTCGTCCTCCTTGTCTTCCTCCTCCTCCTCCACCTCCTCCTCCACCTCCTCCTCCTCCTCCTCCTCCTGCTCCCCATCTCACTCCCCCTCCCCCTCCTCCTCATCCCCCTCCTCCTCCACCCCTCCTCCTCCTCCTCTCCCCTCCCGCCCACGCTGTGTCGCGGGGAAAAAAGTTCTCCTCCTCCTCCTCCTCCTCCTCCTCTCCTCCTCCTCCTCCTCTTCTTCCCTCGCTCCTCCCCCCCTCCTCCTCCTCCTCCTCCTCCTGCTCTCTCTCCTCCCCCTCCCCCTCTCCTCCTCCTCCTCCCCTCCTCCTCCTCCTCCTCCTCCTCCTCCTCGCCTCTTCCTCCTCCTCCTCCTCCTCCTCCTCCGCCTCCTCCTCCCCCTCTCCTCCTCCTCCTCCTCCTCCATCTCTGCCCTACGTTGCCCTTCATCCTCCACCTCCGCCCTGCGCCGTTCGAGGGCTTTGCCACGGCGGTCGCCGGTGGCATGGGCCTGCAGGCGCTGGTGCCCCCTCGGCGCCAGGGATTTGTGGATTTCGCTGGAGGAGGGAGCAGGATGGCGACGATGATGATGATGGTGACGATGATGATGCTGATGATGATGATGATGATTATGATGATGATGGTGATGATGATGGTGACGATGATGATGATGGTGACGATAATGATGATGATGACGGTGATGGTGATGATGCTGATGATGGTGAAGGTGATGATGAAGTTGATGACGATAATGGTGATGATGCTGATGATGATGTTGATGATGATGATGATGATGGCGATGGTGGTGATGATAATGACGATGATGGTGATGATGATGATACTGACGATGATGATGATGATGCTGATGATGATGATGATGACGATGATAATGATGATGATGATGATTATGATGATGATGATGATGATGGTGATGATGATGGTGACGATGATGATGATGGTGATGATGCTGATGATGATGACGATTCTGATGATGCTGCTGCTGATGATGATGACGATGTTTGTGATGATGGTGATGATGCTGCTGATGATGATAATGATGATGTTTATGATGATGATGACGATGGTGGTGGTGATGCTGATGATGCTGGCGATGATGATTGATGATTGATGATGATGGTGATGATGCTGATGATGATGGTGATGATGATGATGATGGTGGTGACGATGATG